CCCCCTCCCCCCAAGCTCAAATCCAAATCTCCCCGCTCAACGACCGAGACCGCCACCTCGCAATGCGCTCGTTCAGCAACAACAACAACAGCAACAGCGACCCCGAAAGCGTCAGCCCGCTCGTCTCGCCGGAGACAACGCCCACCAAGAAACCTCTGCCTGCGCCGGCTCGGATGCGGGGTCATATCAATGTGAATGTTAACGTTAAGCCTACGGTGCAGATGAGGGGGGCAAGGGCAAGGGATACGGAACCTTCGAGGGATGGCGCTACCGCTACTGCTACTGCTACCACTAGGAGTACTCGGATTCCACGCACGGAAGCGGAAGTGGACAGCGGAACGGGAAGGGGAAGGGGAAGGACAACAGCGAAAACGGCCGAGTTATCGGATACGGGGTTCTATCGGCAGCGAGCGGAGTTGCCTGCGAGGATGGAGCGGGAGTTGATTAATGTTCCGTGGAGCAGGAGGCGATGGGAGGAGGAGGAGTGGGAGGAGGGGGGAGAAGATTTCGGTCATGCAGGTGGGGATAGCGCGAGGGCGAGGGAGAGGAAGATTGTGACGGCGGATGGGGCGGTGATGGTTGCGAGTATCCAGACGGTGGGTGGGGATGAGGTTTTTGATTGATCTTCGGATTGTTTTTGTGTATAATCCGGTTGTGGGTTGTGGGCTGTTGGTGTTGGTGTTGGTGTTGGGGAAAGGAGGTTGTTTGGTTTAGCCTGTTGCTGTTTTTTTTAGAGGATAATCTTTGGTTGTTTATATACTACCTTGTACTCCATTTGACTACACAGCCGACTATCTCGAGTCCCTGTCTTCCACACCTGCATTTGATCAGTTGGGCTCACCCTGCCCGGTTTCCTGGCTGCCGCCGACTGACTGAGTGCAGGTCCTAATAGTTGTTAGAATTGCCGTAGGTAGAGGAGAATTAAGGAGTAGTGCAGCATATAAATGGAGTGCACTCACTAGCTGAGGAGTTACTCCGAGGTGCATGAACCCAGGAAAACCGTGGCAGACCCTAACTACGATCTACGAGACCATCCCGATTCATATGGCCGCACGCAGCTTCGCGATAGCCTATAGCATCTTCCCTCTGGGGGGATTAGCTAGTCAGAAGTGTCCGGGTAACAGCATGTATCGATTGACTACATTTTTTCTCTATAAAACGCGCTTTCTATTCAATAAAATGACGTCATGTGGCCTCGACCCTCAGAGTCGTCAAAAACAATCTTCCACCGCTACGACTAGTACGGCCCACCCGCTGACCCTAGTATGAGACCATTGTTATGTATATGTGACTGCTGCTTCTATGTATCCCTTCCTGCACTGCTAGCAGCAGGACATTGTACTTCGCCAGTATGGATACGGCGGTCAGCGGTCAGGAGTATTCGATGTATCGGTATAACCCTAGGTGCATGGTTGGAAGCAGGATTCCCCCACAGGAGGAACGGAAAGGTACCACCCCCAAGGGAGATGATATATCTGTATGCCAAGGTAACCAAGGGAGCATAGCGATTTAAGCCGTCTGACTGAGGCACTCTAGGCGTGATTTAGCAATAATACATCTCTCGTACTAGGCCATCTTCCAGCGACGACCGCGGCCCCACACCTCCTCTCAGCATTGGCAGTAATAGCGCGTTGTTCGATGACCTCTGCAAGGACATGTTGATAAAAATGATGAACCCCAGCTGGGGACTTCCTCGCCCATGTGCCCAGCCAGTGGTACTTCGTCGACAAAACAAAGACCTTTTTGCCTGTACCGTTTGCCATTCACACCGAAGACCACCAGCCGTCACCACAGAGCCTCTCCGTCACCGCACCCACCTCGACGCTTCCATACCATGGCCAACGCGCCAATGGAAGATCTATACCACCCTGAGGTAGATGTTGAGTATCTTGAGGAATATGTGCCTGGCGGGTTACCACTCAACTCTCATCGGAGACACCTTTGGTAACTTAGTGGCCGCTATACTGTCGTCCACAAGCTTGGGTATGGTGGCTATTCAACAATTTGGCTCGCGCGGGATCGGCCACGCCAGCGCTATGTATCGCTCAAGATGCTGACTGCCAGAGCATTCATCAGATAGCCGCGAGGGGGAAGTCCTCAAGCACTTGATGAAGAGTGGCCTTACTCATGTCGGAAAGCAATTCATTCCGCGGTTACTGGACCAATTCTCGTTTCACGGTCCAAACGGACAGACATCACCGGTGCTTGGTCGGAGAACCTGCTGGAGGTAGTATTGCGAAGTCGAAGGAGGACAGCACGGATTTGTGTTGTTATTTACAGCAAGCTGCGCAAGGCTCCAGGCTGTCATGACCGGGCTGACTATTGCGTACCCGATCTTTCCATCTCCAACCTCAACCGGCGGAAGGATGAATGTGCTGGTCTTCGCGAAGAGCATGTGAACCAGTCAACTTGAAAGTACTCGCCAGGAGGACGAGATGGCCTGGCAGCGGCGAGAGACGGCCGGGAGTCACTTAGGTATGATATCGTAGGTAGTTTGGTAACGGTATAATATGAAGCGGCCCGGCTCTATACATGCCCGCCTTATACATAATTCTATATACTTATAACCTAGTACCTACTGTAGCACCTCCACGACTGTCCACGTAACCGTCCAGCCAAGCCTCCCCCCCAACTTCTCCATCACCCGCCGACTCGCCCCGTTCCCCATTGCCACGTTCGTATGCACCAGCATCCCATCCCCAGCTGGGTTGTCCTCCGCGTTCCCGTTCCACCACCGCCCATCCTCCACCATCCCCCGCCTCATCGCCTCGCGCGCCACCCTCCCCGCCAGCCCCTGCCCGCGATACTCCGCCTCAACATGCAACGTCGCCAGCGACCCGTCGGGCCCGAGAAACGCCCACGCCACGGGATTCTCTGTCCCTCCATCACCCGCTCCGGCCGTCGGCGCATAAATCGCCGCCCCGGGCAACATGGCCAAGGTCGCATCCGACCGCGGAATCACCGTGCGGCTCCGCACGAGGCCGAAATGCTGGGGTTGCACGCCCTGCCGGCCGTCGCGGGTGTGGAAGCGGAAGCCATCCTGACCCGTGGCAGCACTACCACCACCACCATCCCGGGGACAAACCACCTCCTCCCTCCCAAACAGATACTTGACGTACGGCGCGTGGTCGTAGCGATGCACCTTCAGCCCCGGGACGAACGACGCCGATCCCACGCCGGAAGTATACACTGCTGCCAGCGCATGCTCATCGGTTTCCGTCGGGGTCGGGGTCGGCCCCGCAAGAAGCACCGCCAGCAGCCCCGTGTGCAGATTCCCGATTAGAAAGGCCTGCGGCGGGGGTGGGGGCAGCTGGTGATCTGTTTTGGTTGCTGTTGCTGTCACGGGTCCCGCGGCCGCGAGATGGGCGGTGTACGCCGGGAGCAGGTGGGTTTTGATATGTTGGAATAGGGCGAGGAGTTGGCGCCGGATTGTCTGGGTGTGTTTGGAAGACAAGAGGGAGAGGGAGCGGGAGCGCTGGGAACCGGTCCCGGGGCCGGGGCCGGTGCTCTTTGGCCCGGGGGCGTGGACGCTGCTGGATAGAGAGACGTCGACGTCGACTGAGGAGTCCGCTTCCGCGCTGCTGTAGATCACCACTTGGGTCTCGCGGCCGGCGTGCAGGTCGATGTAGGCTGTTAGCCAGGGTTCTTCTTCCTCTTCCTCGGATGGTGCGGCTGGTGATGCGCCGGTGGAGAGCGGCGTCTCATGCTGGTGTACTGCAGGAAACGTAGCCAAGACGGTGGCGGTGGAGGTGGGATAGGCGAGGTGGTGCTGGATCCGACGCAGGAGGGGGATGGAGTAGGGGAGCTGGGATTGGAGGCGGGGGAGTATCCCAGACGATGAGGACCAGGTTGACGGAGGGTGCTCGTGAATCGTCACGGCATCCGAATTGGGATCTTGATCCATCGTGTTGGGATTTGGAGGCGGGTTGTACAGTACGTTGCCAACCACTTGGTTGAATACGGGGTTGTTGGACAGGAGTTGCTTTTTTTTTTCCTTTTTTTCCGCTTGTGTTGCTGGACTGTACAACTCGGTTGACTTTTCCTCGTTTCTAAGATCTGGATCTATCTTCTGACGTCTCGGAATGATTTATTCAGGTCGCTTAGGTCGGTTGTTGACGGACGGACGGACGGACGGACGGACGGTAAATCGGAGGATTTACCTTGGGGTACAGTTGACAACAAGGTCAAAGTCAAAAAAGCAAGCAAAAATATCCGAGTTCTTGTCCGTCGATGCTTGGCTTGCGATGATCGGCTGGAATTTCAAATATGACAGGTCAAGGCAGAGGAAAGGTTCAGTTAATTTACATCCATGATCCCAAAAGGTGTGTGAGTCACGTTGGGGGCCCCGGGCGATCGCCATCTGCACTAAGGATTAGTGCAGTTGACTTACTCTGTATAGATTAGTTAGTAGAGGTGAGTTACCCAAGCAAGATAAGTCCCCCAAGATAACGCCCTAGTTAACTAAGGATAGAGTATTTGTCATGCTGACGCTGGTGAGTGGTGAGTGGTGACAGCCTACAGCCTGACAGCTGGAGTGTCGGGCTGCCTTTGCGGGTAGGTTTAATTAAGATTCCTGGGCACTAAACATTGACTATTGACTGAAAGTCTGAAACGAATTTAGTGATGGAAGGAAACCCCCCCAGATTCGCTGTTCAGCCGGTGCCTGAATTAAAGCTCGGATTCCCCGACCAAGCCAAGAAGATGAAGATGGGCGGTGCAAGCCAGCCAGACAGGCCTAAAACTAGTGTGAGACTTGGGGATTGGAAACGGAAACGGAAACACAAATGGAAAGGAAACGCAATCTCTCAAACACGACTAAGGCTAGTGATAGGTCACCTATCTTTGTCCACCCCCGACCTCTCCTCATGCATTAGCCGTGCAGGGCAGGGGCATGGAAAAGAATCTTCCATGAATTGTTCCATGCACATGTGGCTGGCTGGCTGACCGCCAGTAGACTACCATAGAGAAAAGTTGACACGGAACAAGATCCCTGACCCCATGTGGGGGGATTTCCCCTTTTTTCTCCTGCCCCCCTCCCCCTTCACCGCACCATTCACCATTACACAATTCACCACTAAGAATTCAGCTTTCAGCTTTGGGGCTTGGTGTCTCAATGCAATTGTCTTAGCGCCGATGGTCGAGGGATTGACAGGTCCAATGTGCTGGGTCGCATGCTTTTTTTTTTTTTTTGGATCTCGGTTTTAATTTTCCGCCCCCATGGCAGGCCTGCCCAATGCCCAGGGCGGTATTGTAGTTTATTTAGTTTGTCGTCTAGTCTGGTCTAGTTGGACGGGGTCCACGACGCGATTTGGAATTTGACGCTCTATCTGGTATCTGCAATTTACACTAACTTGCTATACCCGATAGTTAGTGGCCCATCTTAATTGATCCTCATATTACTTGGAGTGTCTTACATGCGTACTCGAGCCAGGGTAAGGTTATCAGTCTGCTAACCCGGATACAGGAATTCGAAGGCTTGGTCCGCGGTCAGGAATACTACACACCGGGAAGAGATAGATCTATATGATGATCCTTCTATCATTTTTGCGATTGCAGTAATCATATGCGGCTGCAGTGCCAATCTGACAAATGAAAATCGAGACGAACATAGGAAACGTAGCGCCAGAAAAGAAAAGTCGTAGACATCATGAATCCCTCCACGGACTCCGAGGCCCCACCATCCAGTCCTCCATCGCCAGCCAGTCACTCCACCGCGATTCCGCCAGCCGCAACTCCTCCTCCGCCGGCGCCCGCAGCGGACGCAGGAAGGGCGTCTGCTCGTCCGGCAACAGGTCGTACGCCGCTTTGGTCGCCGCCCACCCGCTGCTCTTCGCCGTAAACAGGTACGTCTGCCGCTCCTGCTGCACCACACAGCCCACCCCGCCCGCCCACTCCGCCCCGAAGAAGGCCTGCAGCACCTCGGGGCTGTCGTGCGCCGTCACCACGAGTCGCCGGACGTACCGCCGCAGCTGCACATGCGCTGCTGCTGCTGCTGCTGCTGCTGCTGGCCCCCCTGCGTCCGAGGACGAGAAGGAGGAGCTTTCTTGCCGCTCGCCCCGCTGGCACGGTAGACGGATGTTCAGAAACGCGGCCAGCGATAGGACCGCGGGTGAGAACTGGCCTTGCTCGAGGAAATACTGCGTGCAGCGTAGATACTGCGGATACCATGTGTCCAGCAGGTCGATCGGAGTCGACGACGGATCTGCTGATGGATTGGCGGCCGTGTCCGGCGGGATCGACCAGGAAGAATGTTGCGGATGCTGTTGCTGTCTTGCAGCAGCAACAGATGCAGGCGGTTCGGTAGCAGCGGACGAGTATTTAATCGAGGAGGATGAAGACGACGCGGGCGTGGATGGCCCGCCGCCTGCTGGGGACATATTCACAGGTCTAGAACCGGATTGAAGTTCAGTTGTGTCCAGCCAGAGAGATTCTGTTTGGCCCAGGGGCCTCAATCTTTAGACGTGCCCAGGAAGGTCATAGCAGATTGAAAGTAAAGGCTTTCTTACTTGCGGGGAAACAGCCGGGGGAAGCGATGGGCGACTGATCGAACCAGTCCATTGAAGGAGAGCTTCGCTGATAATCGTGTTCGGAGGGAATTGGACTTAGCGCCATGGGACATAGACATGTGCTGGCTGACAGGTGCGAATGAATTAAAGTCGCACGATGGATGATTGGGAAGGAGATTCGGCACGAGGGAGTCTGCTCCTTATACTTCTCGGGCCCTCCCCTCGGGACAAGGGGGGATGGCGGCCAGCCCGATGGCCATCCCGAAGGGGAAAGAAACTAGGCCGAGCATCAGTGCAACAAGCCCAAGCTCACGGCGAGGGGCCGCATGACAGGGGAGTGTGGAGAGCCGACGGTCGACTCAGGGTGTGAAGCTATCCCGACTATTGACGCCCTAAGCGGAGACGGACAGGGTCAAGCCACGGGCTTCTCCGCCAGACCGCCACAGATCTGTTCGCAGTCCGCAGTTGTTCGGTGCCGGCGGGGCCGTAGTAGCGTGGCTGTGCAGCCCTATTTTATAGGCCTGAGGCGGCCAGGCATGCAGATGGTCGACAAGGAAGATGGATGTACTGAGCAAGGTCTCGCGTCCTCGCTCCTCGCTGCATCCTTGTCGCGATAATTATTCAGTAGGTTATAATTTGCTAAGCCCTCCAATAGTCTGCTTAATGCTTACCAGTCAGCACATCTATCCATTATCCAGACCCGAGAACCTGGACACCTCCATGGCGCTAGAGACACCAGGATTTGAAAAACACGGACATTAGCGGCAATTCGCTTATCCCAACCTTTGATAGGATCATAGGAGACGAAATAGATTAATATTACGATGAGTATTAAGAGCTAGCTGAGGACCTAAGAGAAGAATGGTGAAGAATAGCGATGGAGATGGAGGAGTGGAGAGGATTTTGGGGGGAGGGGGGCGAAGGGAAAGGAGTGCGTAAGTTACCTAAGTTACTCGTAGTAGTCAGCAGCCTGGCCTCCCACCCGCCTCCTGAGAAAACAGGCTCCCAGGCAGGAATCAATAGTCACCCACCGATCTGTGACAGCTCCGCTGCGACTCACTCAGTCTCCATTCCCCGCACCAATGTCTCCTGTGGCCCTCCGACGCAATCGTGACACAACCCTCCTCTTCCCACTCTGGTGGCCATTTTGACCAACTTCTCCTTGTTCTTCAACCGAGTACTCAAGTAAAAAAAGAAAAGGGTGTGTACAAGCGCGTCACCATACATATGCAACTCCCCAGGAACGGCACAACGTGGACGATAGTCCGACCTGACCGGCTTTCTCCATGCAAGGGGAAGCAGGCGACAGGCTTGATCGCCGTCCATCGGACACACCGTCCACCGGCCTCTCGGCCATGCTGGCGGTCGATCAGCCCTCGCCGGCTAACGAAGGCTAGCCTGCGAGCGAAGCCAAAGGCTGCTAGCAGCTTTGCTAAGTTGCTTCAGGTGTGCAGTCGATGCAGCAACCGACTAAACCGACTAAGCAGTAGTGCTGCATGCAGTCCCCGCTCTCTGACGCACTGGATCCGGATTCGAAACCAAGTGCCTGACCAAGTGGAGTCCCACCTGCGGCCATTCCCGATCAATGACTGGATGGTCACAAATGGACAGATGAAGATACTCTCAGCTATCCTGCTTAGGGCCAGCTAGTTCCTGAGAGCATCCGCCAGTCAGCCTGGACAATGCGGTCGCCGTCAGAAGTGCTAAATTCAACCCAACCCGTCGGACCTGAATTAGCCCAGGGCAACTGCGACTAGCCCGGTTCCCGCCCGGTTTTCGCTCTAAATCGATCTGGCGACGGCTGAAGTGATGATGAGATCATGCCTGACCTAAATTCAAATCAGGCCCGGCGATGCGATCCATCGACTCCTGGTCGGCCGGAACCACTGGGATTATCCTGGTCAATGATCCTCGCGGCTGGGATCTCGTAAATTGTAAGCCATCGGTGAACAATAGATTGGTTAGTTGATTAATTTTTTAGGAGTGACACAAAGGAAAATGAAAAGAAGGTTTTGATTTTCTAATTCTTGCCAGGATAAGCGAACGAAAAAAAGAAGCAGCAACGAAAGAAAAAAATAAAAAAAATGCCAATTAAACAACAAGGCTAGCCAGGGTCAGGTCGATGCGTGGCAGCTGCTCCCCCCACCTTCAACTAAAACCAGCCAGGCGTGGCTGACAATCTCCTCTGACCTCCACCAGGGCACGGCTGTTCGGCCGCATGTTATATAACTATCAAGGTTTCTCCCGAGCTTGTCTCCATCCAGTTCCAAAGTCTCTTCAGAGAACGTGTCTCTCTTTCAGCAATCACATTCTTCGTCGACTCTCCATCAATCGTCAATCGTCAATCGCGAGATCTATATCTATCGATCGCTATCCTCTGCTGTTCTACATCGTTCTATACTACGATCCAGCCGAATCATCTACACATCCTACAAACCACCTTCCGATCTCTCTCACATCACATCAATCACATCTTTCACCACCTCACAACCATCATGACTTACAAGAGCAACTACGAGCCTTATGTGAGTACCACGCCAGCCTCATCGTCCCATCACCACCATACTGATAGTCAACAGACCAGCCAGAGTCTGGACATTGACCGACAACGCTCGCCCGAGGAGATTCTCTACCCACTGGGATCACTGTATCCTCACGTTGTCGCCCTTCAATTGCAATCCGATGAGAACCCATGGGCCAAGGCCCGCCACCTCGCAGACTATCCGGATACATGCTACTGGACCGATATGTCTTATCCGTCCACCCCGGAGCATTTTTCGTCTAAGCCCAGTGGCCGCCGATACAGTGGTATGTTCGCCCGCCAGTGTGACCTGTCATCCCCGGTGCATGTGAGCCACGCTAACCCTGACGCAGACTCCACTGCCGGCCGCTTTGTTTCGCGTATTCGTCGCTTTTTGAGCCGAGACGAGCTGCGCCGACGCCAGCGACATGCCTGACGGGCATTCCTTTCCTTCCTTCATCCAATCATCGTCTCCCTTGGACATTTTTTTTGCCTTCATCTGATCTTTTGACTTCGCATTTTGAGCCTTTCTCTACTCTTCTAGACTTCACACACAGCGCAAATACCCTGTCCGGGACGACGGCTTTTCATTTGTCATCTCTTTTTGTCATCATCATCACCACCACTACAGGCATTCTAGATCTCACTCCTTGAGGCGTTTCCTTGCACTGCCACTTGGGATTTCTTCTCTTCCCCAACTGTTTCATCTCTCTCATGTCTTATCTCTCTCCATGTTATCATTTCGGATTAGGTTGGTTTTAGCGAGGAGTTTCGGGCATCAGACGCAAGGGGGGTTATACACCTGGTACGGACGGTTTCGGCATTAGCATAGTGGTCGACTTTTACACACTTACGGATAGCGAATAACTCTAATGAATCAATGTGAACTCACAACCGGACCTCCCACGCTTCCAGCCAACTGTAATGCTAGCTAGCCTCTTATTGCTCCGTAGGGAGGAACCTTAAACTTCAAACCCAATCTAATCAGCTCCGTGACGGACTGGCCTGCCCCCCCGTCCCAGCCATTGCTCCATTCTTCAGTCTCATCTGAGCTCACTTCCCCCCTCCTATAGGTTATTTGACTCAGGTCCCCGACGAGGGGGTGGGTGATAGAGAAGCCCGAGTCCCGACACCAACCCATCTGACCTAGCACCTTCGGGCTCCTCAATCCAGTAAATCTGCTCCCCCCCTCTCCACTAATCCCCGCATTCCTCCAGTCGTACCGCCCCGATCAGGTGAGTGCGATCCGACAGCTCGCAAGAACTCCCAGTCTCATCTCTGCACGCGGTATATTTCTTACCTGCAGGACAACGGGGGTGGACCGTCGTCTATCGTTCAATAGTCTTGCTGCGTCTGGATGATCGGAATACCACGGCGGTGGTGGTGGTGGTGAGTGTCAATGCGCACGCACAGCAACCAATCGTCTGCAGGAATCTTATGTGGTTGATACATATCAGAGTTTCCCCCGTTCACGAACAAATGCATGCATGCATGCATGCCAGCCGCGATGATTGTCCCACGGACCTCCTGCTGATACGGGTGTACCCGCGCTGACCGCGAAACTCTACTGCACTGCACTGCACCAAGTGGTGGTGTGGGTGTGGTGGGTGTGGTGGGTGATCTTCTCTTCCGGCCGCGGGCATTGTCGGTTGTGGCGGGCAAAGAAAGATATTGTCAAGAGGATAGCGATAGAGTACTGTCGATATCTGGATCTATCACATTGAAGGGGAGGGGGGCTGGATTTGGACAATGGTCTGCCCCTGCACACATGCAGAGTTGAGGTTCGATTGCTGGAGGGATTCGATAGTTGGGAGGAGGGGGTGAGGGGATTAGGGCTCCAGTTCATTAATTGATGAGTATGCATGCCGTTTTTCGTCCGCGTTGTTTTGTTCTCAGGAGGGTTGAGAGGTCAGTGGGGGGAGAGGAGTCCTATCTTTGGTGCGCGGAGGGTAGAGGGCCGGTGAGTTGAGGATTTGGATGTGGGAATCTCCGAATGAAGCCCGAGGGTTGCCGGAGGTTGAAGCTGGATGGATTATGGACTATGGAATTTGGGGGGTCAAATTGATGCGGGGGAAGGGAAGGAAGAGGAACTGGGGGTGTTTGTCGATCATCCAGGGGAGGCCCTGAGAGAGAGAAACACTGCCACTTCCACACTTTTCCTTCTTCCCCCCCCCCCTCCTATTCCTCCTCCCAGTGTTCGACCCTTCTCTTCCTCTCACTCGACTCCTTCTTTTCTTTTTCTTAATCACCTCTCGTCTCCTTACATCACATATAACCCATTATTGCCGTGTAACCATGCGGCTTCTCACCCTTGGCCTCTGGATTGTGCTTGTTTTCTCCCCGGTCACTGCCAAATTCAGCACGACTTGCTTCAAGGCCATCGTTGCCCTCACCAGTCGTCCGCACGCGCTCCTCGAGCAATTCCAACAGGAGATCTGCGACCAAGGCTGTCGACCGACGGTCGCGCATTGGGACCTCTGGACGCGCAACCAGACCTTCCTGCCCGCTGTCCGCAGCCTCCTGGCCCGGGTGGATCACCCGGACCAGCAGGAGGAGGCGATGATGCGCCTGGGGGACGAGGTGGCCGGGCTCATCAAGCGGCAATGCGGCCCGTTGCTGGACGGCGGCCGCGATGTCTGTGCGGATGGAGAGACCCTGACCGCGTTCGGCACCTGCTTCAAAAAGAGTTTTGTGCGGGCCGCGCTGGTTCACCTGCCCCGGTTGCTGCCTTTGGCTTCCGAGCCCGTCTGTCAAGCCCAGTACGAGTGGGTACAGAAGAACCAGCTCTGGGAGGAGATTATTCCCAACAAGATGCGCGAGTACGCCGCGGTGTGTGGGCAATTGGGGGGAGAGATGATGGTGATGGGGGAGATGTATAGTTTCTAGTCATGAACTGTATAGTACACTATCTATGAGTATGTACTCACTAAGTAAGCTGGCTGCTGCATGCATGCAATAATACCCTTATCATATTGTCCTTTTGCCTGCTGTGGCCCGATCGGGCTTATCTCCGTTTCTACCGGTTGATTAACTCCGCCCCGGCCTTCCGCCGCCGCTTTAACTCGACCGCCTCACGTCATCCTCTCTTTCTCTTGCAGCTGCCACTGCAACGCCATCTCTTTTTCCTCATTCTCTCAATTCAACCTCAACCGATTTTTTTTCAAACTCTCTCTCTATCCCGCCATGCCATTTCTTCCGCTCTATATCTCGGTATAATGGCATCAGCCATTTATCTGCGCCTCCTGCGCTCTCCCGTTGTATCATCTTCTCCTCTCGTCCGCTCGCGTGCCCACCACCACCACTTCCAGTTCCCAGCTCCGCCGCGGCGGTACCCAGCCCTCTCCAGCCGCCGCCATGTCCACCCCGGACGATACCAGCCCTTCGTCCCGCCCTCGCCGGCCTCCCTAGGCAAACCAACCCCAGCCAAGACCTACACGCGTACGCGCAAATGGCTGCGTCGCCTCGTCTACCTCTCCCTCACCGCCGGGGCGATCTACGCGGTCGACAACCAATTCTACGCCGCCAGCCTGACCCGCACGGCGCGCACCTTCGGCCTGGGTCTCCTCGTGGCGCTGGACTACAAGATCAACTTCCGCCCCAACCCTCCGCTGGCCAGCTCCATCGCCGCCGTGCACACGCGCAACGCCGAGCGGCTGTCCGACCTCCTGCGGCACAATGGCGGCCTGTACCTGAAGATTGGCCAGGCGATCGCCATGCAGTCCGCCATCCTGCCGCCCGAGTTCCAGAAGATGTTCGCGCGCATGTTCGACGATGCGCCGCAGAACGACTGGAAGGAGGTGGAGAAGGTCATCCGCGAGGACTTTGGCGGCCGCTCCGTCGAGGAGGTCTTCGGGGTCTCCTTCACCGGGGAGCCCGGCAGGGGCCTCATGGAGCGGACGGCCCGGGCCAGTGCCAGCGTGGCGCAGGTGCATTGGGCTCGTCTGGCGGATGGGCGGGAGGTGGCGATCAAGATTCAGAAACGGGAGATCGGCAAGCAGATCAAATGGGATCTGTGGGCTTTCAAGTATGTTTCCGGCTCACTCCACGGTTTTGTAGTTTATTGGGAGCGCATGCTAACTTCAGCAGGGTTGTGACGTGGATCTACAGCCGGCTCTTCGATATCCCGTTCTACAGCCTGGTCCCATACGTCACCGAGCGACTCTCCCTGGAGACGGACTTTGAGAATGAAGCCGACAACTCCGAGAACATGGCGCGGCTGGTGGCCGGCGAGCCTCGTCTCCGCGACCGAGTGTACATCCCCAAGGTCTACCGCGAGCTCAGCTCGAAGCGGGTGATGACCGCTGAATGGATCGAGGGCGTCCGCCTCTGGGACAAGAACTCCATCACGCGACCATGGCGTGGCGGATGGCGTCAAGGCACCCCAGGCTGCCACGGAACGCCGCTTGACCCGCCGTCCAGCAAGGCTCAACCTAACCCCCACCCCAACCTCGATCGCAACGGCGCACAGCTCAAGCCCGAGCGCACCCACTGGCGCGGCGGCTACAGCGACAGCGGGCTAGGCCTCTCCCTCAAGCAGGTCATGACCACGATGGTCGACCTCTTCTCCGCGCAGATGTTCCTGTGGGGGTACGTCCACTGCGACCCGCACCCGGGGAACATCTTCATCCGGCGGACCCCGTCGGGCAACCCGGAACTGGTCCTCATCGACCACGGCCTGTACATCCACATGGAACCGGCCTTCCGGCACCAATACGCGCGGTTCTGGAAAGCGCTCCTCACCTTCGACAACACGACTCTGTCGGAGATCGTCTCCTCGTGGGGGGTCCAGAACACCGACCTCTTCGCGTCTGCGACCCTGATGCGCCCCTACCGGGGCGGCGACCTCTCGACCCACCGCTCCGTCTCGCGCACGCTGTCCCCGGAGGACCCGGGGACCCTGCACTACGAGATGCAGCAATCGGCGCGCCGCGCGATCCGCCAGATCCTGGGCGATGAGGAGAAGTGGCCGCGGCCGCTGATCTTCATCGGCCGGAACCTCCGCATCGTCCAGGCCAACAACCAGTTCCTGGGGAGTCCCGTCAACCGCGTCAAGATCACGGGGACGTGGGCGTCGCGCGCGCTGGCCGAGGACCGGCCGGAAGGGGTGGCCGCCCGGGTGCGCGGCGCCTGGGGCCATCTGGTGTTCCGGGTGGTGTTGTTCGGGACGGATCTGTTCTTCTGGTTCACGAAGGTGCGCCAGTTTTTGCGGTTGGGGGGCGGGATGGAGGATGAGATCGAGCTGCAGATGCGCGGGGTGGCGAAGGATATGGGGGTGGAGTTGGGGAGTAATATCTTCGAGGGATAGAGTCCTCCGGGTCTGGTGGTGGGTGGGTATACACTGTACTGTACATCATACACATACACTTATATACTCTTCTCGGATTCCTTTTGTAAGTTGGACTCCGACTCTGAATATGTGCGATGCTTGGCTTGGGAACTACTCGTCTACAATGATAACTAGACCAGCTCGCTCCCTGAAGTGTTCACAGGAGTTGCCAGTATTCATTCTCCTGAATGCATGCATCCGCGAATAATCCCTATACTAGACAGACCTAGATTGCGCAAGCTAAGGCACACTAAACCCCCAAACCCTCCTAAACCCAAAACACCAAAGCACCATAATCCCTCCCAATAACAAACGCCCTTCTCCCCCCATATCAAAAGATTCCTATCGCTGCGACAATGCCACCCGTAATCAAGAATACAATTCCCCCCCACAGATTAAATTATCCACAGCCCCGGAGTTCCCAATCCCCAATCCCCAATCAATGATAAGGTTCAGTCAATCATACCCCCACCCCGACGCCTCCATAAACCCGGCCGGCTTCCACTGCTGCCCCGGATACGCCGTACTAAACATCACGATCTCGGCCTCGTCATCCTCGTGCTTCCCGGCCCTCTCGCTCGGGGTTTCGGCCGGCTTCGCCACCTCCGTCGAGGGGCTGGGTGGCTTGGGATGTTGTTGCTCCTGCAGCCCCTGCAGCCCCCTCCCCGGCATCAGCGACTCACTCGACCCCGGTAACGCCGGGAGATCAACTTTCGTGCACGGCGGAGGTGGCGGGAGCAGGAGCGGGGACGGGGTCCTGCCACCTCCACCATCACCACTACCACCCCCGATGGTGTCCGTGTTCGTGTTCGTGTCCGTAGTAGATCCTCCTCGGCGGAGGAGGGGCCGGCCTTGGCCTGGGCCTGGGTTTAGGCCTGGGCCTGGGCTTGAACTGTGGGGGTGGGGGCTGGGGGTGAGGAGGGGTATCGTCGAAGTTCGCCAGGTGGTTACCCCTTGCCCTTGTCCTGGTCCTTGCCCTTGTTCATGCCCCACTACCGGAGATAACCTCTTCGATTTCGGCGATATCGAATCTGTTTCCTGTTCGGGTGCGGGCGCGGATCTAGAGCGCTGCTGCTGCTGCTGCTGCTGCTGCTGATGCTGGAGTGGTGGGCGCGGCGGAACGAGGATGCTGTTCTTGCCGATGCTGCGGAGGACTTCCCCTGTTATGCGGGCGGACCATGTTTCTGTGGATTCGGGGTGGAAGCCAGTGGTGGTGGTGGTTGTGGTGGCTTGGATGGGGGGTTTGAGGATGGGGTTTGAGGTTGGGGTTGAGGTATTGTGCTGTTGCTGCTCGTGGGCGTGGGCGTGGGCGTCGTCTTCGCCGCCAGGGATGATCAGTTTCCAGGGCAGTTCTTGGTCGCCGGAGCGGCTGGTGCGTGGGCGTGTGCGGAAGGTGCCTAGGTTGTGGGCGGGGTCGGTGAGGTCCATGGGCTGGTTTCTTTGTGGATGGGGATTGAAGAGAGGGGGTGGGGTTGTGGTGAGGTCTCGGTTTTGGTTTTGGTCTGAGGTGGGGTTGGGGGGTTGGTGGAGTAGGGGAGGTGGAGGTGGAGGTGGAGGTTTGGCGTGGAGCTGCGGTCGGGATAGAGGTAAGTGATTGCTGCGGCTGACTTTGTTCTAGTGGATATGGCATGGATATGGACATGGACATGGCTGGGTCGGAGGTGGAGTGGGAGTGCGCCCGGCGGGAAGAGAATCCGGGGTAAGGAAATCCGGGGTAGGCCGAGGGCCGGAGGTGGATCACGATCGCTCTTCAAGATTCTGGCTGCACCTTTTCGAGATTGTGCTCTGCCACTGCTGCGGGTGATGATAGAGAAGGAGTATGGTCGGGGTGTGGAAGTTATGATATTTTTGGTATGTCTTTCGCGGTGGTGGGGTGGATGCTATGAGGGCAAGCAACTATATTGAATGGTTGTGGGTTGATGCACGCTTGCTGGATATTGTATCATTTACTCGATGGTGAGTCGAGTGTTTTGGTGCTTTAGGAGTAGAGGGGTATGATGTACTCATTATAGATTATGTCAATTGATCGAGGTGAATTTTATATAGACTAGGCTATGATGTGGATTGATTAGTGCCTGCTTACCTGCACTTGACCGTTAGATGAACCGTACAGTTGATGGTCTGTTCTACATGAGTCTTGTGGGATATATTGCCAAGATGTGAGCCCCATAACATGAACCAGCATCATTGGTCTAGTGGTAGAATTCATCGTTGCCATCGATGAGGCCCGTGTTCGATTCACGGATGATGCAATGCTTATCTTTTTGCTTACCTTCCCTATTTCTACACCTGTAGTAATTTAATACATCTCCGGACATCCCAGCAACACAACCTTACATTACATATTGTTTTTGCATGTCGATTCCAGATTGATAGCTAAACCCAGTACAGTCTCAAAGCCAACCCTACGATTTCGACACCACACAAATCGCAATCCCCGCCAACACCAACGCCATCCCCACCCACGTCTCCCGAGCGATCACCTTCCGCTCCACGTACCACTCGCCCAACACCGTAAACAGGAACGCGCTCGAATTGGCCAACGGCACCGTGAGGGAGAGTTCTATGCACCAAAATACGGAGTCAGTGATTATTCGGAATCCCCTAATCCCTCATTCGTTTGCTAGGGCGGAACATACCATGCTTCCCCACCAACAGAAAGAACCAGATACTCCCCGTCAGGTTCACCACCAACGGCACCGAGTACGCCGGTGTCCGGAGGAGGTTGACCACCGTCCAGAACACGGAGACGATTTTCGTCCGTAGCCAGGATTTTTGTGGTTGCGGATGATGCACTGAAGACTGCTGACGCATCCAGACGGGTTGTTGGGATGGTGGGGGTGGGGGGAGGTCTGTTTCGCTGGCGCTGTCGTTGTCGTGGCTATTGTTGCTGCTGTCGGGTGAAGGACGGTTGTGTTCGATTGGGTTCAGGGGCACGGTTTCGTCGTCGCTTTCGGGTGCATCACTGCCGTAGGTGTTTGAGGAGATAGAATTAGCAGTAGCAGGGTCGTGCTCGCCGTGCGACAGCCCGGTTCGCGCCTCCTGGCGCGCGTTGAAGTCGGCGGCGGCGCGGCGGATGAAGGGGGTGGTGAAGCCCCAGGCGACGCCGACGAGGAGGAAGGAGAGGATGTAGTTGAGGACCGGGGGTTGGTCGGCCGGGGTATCGGCTGCTGGGAGTGGGGGTTCCATTTTGGATGGAGTCTGGGAGGTTGGTGTTGAATTGGGTGGTCAAGAGTTGGGACGTAGTCATTCATTCAGGTGAGATTTAGGGGGAGAGAGCTGGATTGATTGATTGATTGATTGATTGCGATAAGATAACAAGCGGAGGGCTGGTTGCGGTGGCGGATGCGCATTGCGGAGACGTCGGAGAACTAACTATCAATGGTTCACATACGCTAGACACCTCATTTCCAAACTTTTTCTTTATCATCGGCTACCTAGCTTGAATTTATACCGTACAATCTGCTATGGTCATAACCGAGATCATCTGCTCCAAAAAGAGGCTTTTGCCACGAAAAGGCTCTCCTGCGGTTAGGTAACTTGTAGTACAGTACAGTAAGACATCCACAGATGGCAGGGGCGACTGAGCGGTTGCGGGCAAATGAAGGCACGCCGAAGTCCACACATGAGCTCACATGAGCTCTCTTCTCTGTCATCTGTCATCTGTCCTCCACTTCCCAATGACGAAGCCAGATTGTTTTACTATGCAATGACTTGCGACATCCCTGTTGGTGCCTTCTGATCAGAACCGAGAGAGATTCCTGAGTGACACGGATGATAAGACTAGCCAATGGCTGCTTGAGTGGACCAAGCAGAGGTAACAAGGGTAACAGCACCGTCGAGAGATCGCTGTCTCGCCAGAAGAGCGTTTTGTTTCGGATCTGTCACGATTGGCGCTACAAAGCTGACATCTCCACTTGGTGGCTCTTAGAGCGGACTATAATCCCTGACCCCAGCATGGTTACGTCGAAACCATGAAAGCTCCTCAACCAAAGCTCGCTAATTGCTGCAAGACGCCGTTTGAGGTCGACCGGCGCACAGATGACCAGACGCACTGCTCCGCATCGCAAATAATGATTGCTTGCCGATATGCATATAAACCCAGGCTAGCCCCCGGCACGCCTTCGAAAACCAACGAAACCGTGGTCAACTCACAATGGTTCCATCTGCTACGATCGAAAATCTGGGAATACTCCTTATACTCTATTATGGCGGTTGGATACTCTATGCCAGGTGGCTCCATCCCTTGGCCAAATTCCCCGGACCTCCTTTGGCCTCGGTTTCCCGACTATGGGTCGTCCTGCATGTTGCCCGTGGCAAGGCAGTGATTGAGCAGAAAGAGCTGCATCGCAGATACGGTATGCTAGCAGAGCACTACAGTCGATTGCCCGTACGATGATGCTGACATTCTCCAGGGCCTATTGTTCGTATAGCACCAAACGAGCTCATCATGAATGACGCGCGATCCTTGAAGGCTATATACGGTGCTAACTCGGGGTCTCAAAAAGTGAGCATCCGGCTTTATCTGGCTAATTCCTCCAAGATATCAGATAACAGAACCCGTCTGACTATCTAGACCGACTTCTACTTGGCTTTCCGTCCGCCTTCGGGTAAGTCTCAGGTGGCACATTCGATCGCATGACGCTGACGCCCTTCTAGCACGATATCCAGACCATTTCTCAGCAACCGACGAACAGTTGCATGCCCGCAGGCGACGAATCGTGAGCCATGCCTACTCAATGTCGAATGTGCTCCAGGCAGAGAAGTACATAGATAAGTGCACCGATGTTCTACTCGAGCGCTTCGCGGAGCTCGCCCGACAAGGTGCGACGGTGGATTTCTTCCAGTGGGCTCGAATGTAAGTTCTCAAGCTAGAGTCACGTAGCCCTCAAGCTCAAGCTGTACGGCAGGTATGCATACGATGCAGTCGGGGAGTTTTACTTTGGTCGAATGTTCGGGTTCCTCCAGAACGGACACGACCACCTGGGCTACATAGCAGCCACCGACGTCCTGATTCCAGTCATGGCAATCTCTGGTGTCATGCCTTCGTATATACGTCCAATCTTCATGTCCGTTGGGCTCATGTTTGGCCGGATACGAAAAGCCTTCGGGGCGCTTGGCCACCTCACAAAAGCAGCCAATATGGTGGTAGAAGACCGCATGAGTGAAGCGAAGAAGGTAGGGGGACGTTCCAGTCATTCTGATATTCTCACGCGGATCTTCGATATTTATTACGATAAAGGCAAGTCCCTTGATTTTGAGGTGACGGATGTGAAAATGGAGGCTTGGGCTGCATTGTATGTCCTCGCCGTCGAACCCAGTGCGCATTGATCACTAATGAATGCGCAGCTTTGGTGGAAGCGACACTACGGCTATTACAATGGCGGCTACCATGTTCCACATCGTAAAAGATCGGCGGATCTATCAGACATTGCTCGAGGAGATCGATACGGCGACTGCCAAGGGAGAACTGGGGGCTTCGCATATTGCCTACAACGAGGCTGTGAAACTACCATTCCTTAGCGCATGTCTCAAAGAGGGCATGCGAGTCCATCCGACCACAGCGTTGACACTGCCCCGTCAAACAGCCAGCGAGGAAAGAATGGTATCTGGCTACAAGATTCCCGGTGGCACACGGATTGGTGCGAATGCTCCTATCGTGCAATCGGACCCATCTGTGTTTGGGGAGGATGCAGACGAGTTCTGTCCCGAGCGTTGGATGCGCCCGGGAGCTGATCGCCTAGGACAGTATATTCTGCATGTGAGGAACACTGTCAAGCGGTGAAATGGACCATGTGTACTAATTCTGGTGCAGTTCGGTGCAGGGTCTAGAACTTGTTTGGGAAAACATGTAAGCTCGCTTTACACTAAGGTATTCTACTGCGGTGACGTCGGTACTAATGCATCTTGAAGATGGCGATGTGCGAGTTGTACAAAGTCATACCACAGATCCTCCGGTCCTTCCATCTAGAGCTCGATTCGCCATCCGAACCCTGCCTCGCAACCCAAGAATATTGGTTCAACAAGCCCACTGCTGTCCAGCTGAAGGTGCAGCGGCGAGGGATTGGACGATCAGATTAGATACTGTTGATAAACACCGTATGGCTACCCTCGTAACCAAGAAAACCAACCAACATGCTTGAGCAAAGATCCACTTCATGACTTCTGCGGGGTGCTGCCATCCCATGTAAACTTCCGGATATGTTCAACTTTGACGTCGTTGATCTCGAAGATCCTAACCCAGGGCCGATAAACCGGGACAATCGGAAGCTTAGGACGTCCCTCCCCACAGATCGAGTCCAGATCGATGCCAAAACACTCTAGATACGCACTGTTCAACTCGGGCGACCATTTCTTCTGTACGCACCGTCAGCAAAGCTCACTTCATCTTCTTCGGGAATCCATACCTGAGCCCGACAGAGCCTGCCAAAGCTTCTAAGGAAGGACCTCGACTCCGCCCACGAGCGCAGCCTCGACCCACCATTCCCCAAAACCTGATCAAACCGATGGCCCTGCGCGCGCCACGCCGTGTAGACACGGAACCCCTCGCGCCCCACCGCCACGACAAACGTGTGCGCGAACGAGGTATAGTCCAGATCGCGGTTCTTGATCTCGCCGCGATCGAGCATCTCCACGTCCACCAGGTCGACTCCCAGCACCGTCACCGTGGCGACCTTGCCATCGATCGCGGCCTTCTTGGCCTGCGCGAACCGCCGCGACAGGTCCGCCGACCCCGTCTTCCAGATCTCCGCCATCGACGGCAACCCCCCCATCTCCTGCGACTGCCACTTCAGCGCCGCCAGCGTCGCCCCCCGCTCCGCCGGGCTCGCCAGCACCAGCACCAGCGTCGCCGCCACGTAGCTGAGATGCCAGATCGACGGGCGCGGGCGCAGGCGCGCGGGTTTCAGGCCTCGGTGCGGTGGGTAGGCCGACGCGCGCAGGCGCAGGTCGACGGTTGTCTCGCCGCGCAGCACGGCCACCCGCAGCGCTGTGATTCGGTGCGAGGCGGCTTGGATGCCCTCTGCGAAGAAGGTGTGGAGTTCCGAGTCTAGGACTTCCAGCGCGGTAGTCGGGTTGGGGTTTCGTGCGGTGAGCGCGGCGCGCGTCGCTTCGGAGGGGGATGGTTTGGGTGTGGCTGTCTTGGTGGGGTCGTTGTCGTTGTCGTTGTCGATGTAGTAGTAGTTGTTGTTGTTGTCGTTGTTGTGCTGTTTGGTGGGTTTGGGAAGTTGGGACTTGGGCTTGGACTGCTTGGGTGCATGTGTGGATCTGTGGGTGTCGGGCTTTAGACTCGATACAGTAGGTAAAATGTTGTGTTGTGTTGTGTTGTGTTGTGGTGTTTGCCTTACCTCGATCCTGTAGCCTTGCCTTCTTCATCGCCTTGCTCTTCGGGGTGAGGGTGGGGGTGGGGCATGGTGATCGAGCGAAAACTAGTCTACACGACCGGCTTCTGAGACTCCGTATACCGTTGCCAGCGAGTGTAGTTGACAAGAAGAAAGCGAAGCAGCTATGTAGGCGAGGGACGAGGTGGTGTTGGTGTTGTTGTGAGAGAGAGGGAGGTTGGTGGGAAAGGAACAAAGAAGTTTCACCAGAGAAGAAGAAGGGGGATATGTTATGAACAGACGTCGCAGACGTGTTATGTGCTGTGCAGTGAATATTCTCGGTGTAGCTTACACTATTGAAGTGAAGGTTGATCACGATCCAGGTTCTGGTGATGATACTGAAGGATTGGTTTGTTGGCCGGTGGCCGGGTGGGTGAATATCTCAATCTCATCTCCCAGAGGTGTTGATCTGAGTCCCTCCCTACTGTGAATGGATTCTCTACCTGAAGAGCGGGATGATGGGATCGTTACTGTTATCACATGTTATCTTTTCTTCTACGCAATGAGGGGTCTTGAGATCCGAGTTTTCTGGTCTCTGCTGGTATGGGAGGAGGGTTCGCCAAATGATCTTCTGGATATACTTGTTTTCGTCGGCAATGGCTCGACACATTGAAACAATGTATGCAGAGTACCTCTATTCTCTACAAGGCTATAACCTGAAGGAGTCTACGCGATGTTAGCGGATGAGGATATGAGGATGAAGAGAGATAGCCAAGTCAATACAGTTCGAGGCATGCGAAGATAACCACTACGCTGCGCTTGAATCTGGAATATCATTTGCACACCCCTTCCCATGGCCCATACTGCCATATCTTAACTGAGTGTCGGTTTAATATACAATGGTGAATAAGAGAAAATTGCAGGACAGAGTGTATCAAATGCTCTGCGAATACCGAACGCAGGTATCATAGCTCACAAACAACCAGCGTGGAATATCCTCCTGCTCTGCAGGCACTAACTACAGCACCTCATAACAACTCGCTGCGGAAATGGAAAATCAAGACACTGGCAGCACTGTACGCGATCGCAATGATATTCTCGAACGCGGCGGCGCCCTCCAAGTTGGTGTACTGGGGTGGCAGCCGGAGCAGCTTCTGAGCCCCCGCGAGGATCCATTCATTGTCCTCCAGGGTCAACCTCGGTTGAGGGTCTTCTAAGCTGGTCAGGAGCTCGACTCCCGTGTGTACTAACGTGTGGAGATCCTTCTTCGTAGTGACACTTCTGGACGCAGTGGATTTGTTTAGGTCGACCGCGAGCACGCACGTCTTGTTCGTAATATCCCACAATCTCGCGTCGGGGCCGCTCCGCGAGACCAAGAACTTTTCATCCTCGGTGAAACACAAGGCAGCAAGATTGACTGGTGGTTCCTCGGCCGGATCATCCTCCTCATTCGCGAGATCGATGCAATATTGTAATTTGGGATCAGGGAGTAGACTTTGTAGAACCTCCCAAAGTTCGAACTCGCGCATCGCGTCACGAGTGTGTCCCAGATCACCCAGACATCTGCCTGTAACGGTATCCCAGATGTATAGCTGTAAATCAACGGACAAGTCTGCTAGCAAGCGTCCATGTGGCGAGAAGCGAACGTCACGGAGATTTCTCGTTCGAATGACGGTAGGGGGATCCATAACCTCGCCCGCCTTGAGATCCCAGAGTCTGACCGATACGCGGGCACAAGTAGCTAGCATACTTCCATCTGGAGAGAGGGCCACCCCAGCACATTCTGCCACCCCCATGTTTGTAGTCTGGCAGCAGCGACCAGTCTCGATGTCCCAGAGTTGGATCTGGCCATACGACACCGATGCGAGGAATCTCCCATCCTTCGATATATCGAGTGCTTGACCGTCTGACGACAAGCCATATTTCGGTGCACTTTGGACTTTCAGAACCCGGAGAAGGTTAGTTGTTGTCGGCTGCCAGAGTTGGAGTATGCCATCATCTGAGATTACTGCCAAGATATTGCCATCGTTGGAGAGAGCAGATTTGAACAACGCTGACTAGTGCCGATTTTGTATTACCTGTAAACACTGGGCCTTGTAGGTGTCCCACATATAGATAGCTCCATCAACCGTTGTTGAGGCCAGGACTGAACCGTCTTTCGATGCCACGGCATGTATGATCTCACTTTCGTGGCCAGTAAGCCGTCGGATGCAGCAGCCGGAAAGCACGTCCCAAACTTGTATCGTACGTGAGTCAACCATCAGTGCCAGCAACTCTCCAACTTCCGACAGAGCAACTGCCCCAAATATACCGATTTCAGCGGGGATGCTCGATTCCTGCAAGCATTCCCCAGTCCAAGGATCTCGTTGTTGGATGTGATGGTCACGATTTGTTCCGCCACCTGACACTACCACTAATCTCTCTTCCTCTCTCAAGAACCCAACAAACACCGCTAGGTCTGGCAAGTCAATGGCCTGCAGAAGCTCCCCCGTCACGGGGTCCCATACTTCCACTATCTTGCTCGCTCCTCTAATTGCGGCCGATGCTAAGATCTTTCCGCAAGGGGAAAAAGCCAAAGCGCGACTTGACCACACACGACCGCTCAGGCTCTGCAGTAAAAGGCTCCAGTTTGCAGAGATCGATGGCATCCGATGCATCCAGTGCAATGCTTCCTTCTTAAAGAGAAGCCTGACTGTGCTCTGTGCTGGCACAAATACAAGCCCACTCAAGTATATTTGTAAGGGATATGGTTCGATTGTATATCGGCTAGATAACGTAAATCGCTTCGCGTCATGGATATATGCGTCGACACTGGGGTTCTTGGTATCACTTAGCTCCGCTTGTCAGAATGTGAGGCAGCAACACCTACAATCGTCATGGATTCCAGGGAGGCGATGGCACGAACTCCATCGGAAAGTCTCATCCAAATAAGAGCCTCTAGCCAATGTAAAAGATTTTTTCGGAGGAAGAGATCAATGGAGTCGTTCTTATGTATTTTGGCACCGCTCTGTTGTAGGTGGTGGACCCAGTAAAGGCATGCATAGCGCACGCCAGCTGGTAGCCACTGCTCCAATTGGCTCCGGCTAACATCGGTCACAGCAACAGCAGGGTTATCCAAGCCGAAGATCCCCTGTCCAGGTGGGGAACACGCCCATGATTGGGATATGATGTTCACACAGCACCCAGCCAAGGTGAGATGCGTCTGCCTCGTGTCTACATGAAATGCTTGCTCGGTACATCTCACTTCATCCAATATGAATTCACGCAACGTGGGATGGTGAAGTCGAAGGGGCAGATGATCATCTTCAGGAAGATCGACAATCGCGCTCAAGTGCCTGAGGTTAAGATGAATATCAAGGTTACTGATAGTTTTGTACTCTGGGCGTTTGACGCCAGATGACCGGGGTTCGGATTGGTACAAGGCGCCTAGTCCAACTACCGGAAGTGGAGAAACGAGCACAGCCATTGTTCCTAAGATAAGTCGAACGATGCTATAGATGAACACTTTTTTTTCAGTCGTGTGTCGCTCTGAGACGGTACTCCAAAGGACGGTGAGATAAATCTTGTCTAGCTCCGACTTTGGGTCGTCAATGGAAATGCTATCGTTGAGGAGGTGACTCAGTCGCTGGCGGGAGAAACGGCTGTCTGAACCGACAAAGTTGCATGCAGTCGCGGCCCATATGAAGAGACCACCGGATTTCTGAGTCAGAAGCTCAGTTGTGTCTGATCCAGGCCAGTCTTCACCTTGGTGATGATTTTTTCGCAATGATTTTGAACCTGTGGGCAAGGAAAACGCCTATGTCATGACTCACGATCTCCGCGTCTATATTGTGGAGCTTGAAGCACCGTCGCTTTTCTTGCGGTATGTCGTCAAACCTGGTCTCAGTCCTCGTATCAGGTCGGCTGGTTAGGAATATGCGCAATTTCACAGACTCTAGCATTCGTGTTTGAGCCAGAAGATGGAGGATCGTGGCGACTCCACCCGATGTTTCGCATTCGTCTAGGCACAAGTCTGTACTCGCTGATTCGGTTTTAATGCGCTCCGTATCCAAGCAACTGCACAATCTTGCCTACGCTCATCCGCGGGCTAGCAATGGTGTGAATCAAAAGAGTCTACTCAGCAGGTGGCGCCACAATCGGATCTACGCCACCAACCAGCAGCGGCTCCATTGCCGACTTTGGCTGCCCAAAGCAGGGCTCCAATCCAGTTGCCGTCCTGGTGCCAGAGTGTCTTGTAGCATTGATGAGAGACGAGTCGAGGGCCTCGGTGAAGCGCTAGCAGGTCGTTGCGCAACTGCTTCATCAGTTTCGTCGTGACTGATGACGGATTAAGGCGGATTCTTCCCCAGAAGGCTCTTACAGTATAGGATTTGAGTCCACATCTAACTGTTCAGGAGCTCGGGTCGGAAATATGTTATCATTGTGGAGGCAGTCATCCTCTATATCTTACTTGGATGAACCCCTTCTAGCCATACGGCCCGGGACACTACTCAGCATAGCAAACCTCTTTAAAATGTCTGGCGACGAGATAATCCTCGGTCTAGAGCAGGCTCTACACTCTGACTATCTCCACGCAGCATGATCCTTCCCTCTTCTTGCGATGGTGCAAGATCCACAATCAAATCACCAGCCAACTGCTCCATCTCGCTTGCCATCTCACAAGGACCACGCTCATTCATGTTGCGAGTGACCACGCTGTGTTCCAGCCCATGAAAAAGAAGAGGCAGCGTGGATGACTTCCATAAGCTAACATTTTCGCGACTGGTTATGAAAGCCGTTGCTACAAGCACGATGATGCCTGCCACGAGCAAGGCGACGGGAAGGGCCAGCCACGGCCATTGAACGGCAACGTATGAATCCTGCGTGGTGAGAACACCATAGATCGGATAGCTATGGGTGGTTCGCGCCAACTTGGAGACTGACGCGGCGATGTTTTCCATGACATTCTCGAATCCGAATTCGGTCGCCCTTTTCGCGACCCATGAAGACGTAGCCAGGTAATCTGTCCCACTATTCCACACCTTTGTCACACGGTCCAACTCATAGCCCTTGTTGAGGGTCCCAGCCAGCGGGAGTAAATCTTCCATGCGATACGGTCCGGGCTCCACTCCACAGAACTCATAATGAACTGGGTCGACCGAATATCCAACGGGATTGATATCAGTATTCGTATCATTCCAGTTTGTCAGCGGACTTGCGCTGGGTTTCCAGCAGTTATCGCCATAGCCATCTTGGTAGAATGATCCGAGATCTTCATCCATGATTTGAACAGAGCTAACACCATTGGTGACAGAGGCATTATACCTCTTAGCGCATATTGCCAGTGCGCACTCGGTCACTTGTGTGACTTCGATCACGCCTAGAAAGTCCGATGCGTTACTTGGCCAAGTTTCCGGCAGACTCAACTCGGCTTTGGATACCACGACCAAGGGTTCATCAACCCCTGCCACCCTATCAATGCTGAGAATATCGCCCAGATATTGATTCGGCCTCGTGTCGGCTATCCAGTATAAAACCTTCGGGACGAGCAAGTCATAGACCCCAGTGGGGCGCCATGTGATGTCAATTGAGAAATTGGATGGTGTCCCATTGATTCTAGATATCGAAATTGGAATTGTCTGGGGACTGAAGAGGCTGTAGTTAAACAAGGATACATTCCACCCGGAGAGGACCACACGAGTAGGGTCGATATCAGCACACCGACTGCATATCTCCACAGACTGGTACGGGGCCCAGGTACAGTTGCCTGTTGGACAGCTAAGGCCGAAGTCAATTACATCAGCCCAGATTCCGGTATTAATGGCACTTGTAAAGTCGGAATAATTGCTGGAATTAGGTTGGAAATGGCGTGACTGAGCTGCTTCTGCGCCTTCCGAATACCGATGTGTAGGTTTAACAGGATAACTGATAATTTGCTGGACAAAGGGATCGAATACCAGAGCCAAGATTATTACCAAGGCCGCGACGGTCACAAGAGAGCGATATTTATCTTCGAGTAGAATTAGGATCGAGCCCCAGGGCCCTCGGCTTGCATTGTCATATAATTGCACACTTGCCAGCCGCTTTCGAGCCTTCCGCAGTGTGATCCATCTCAGTTGGCCAATACATTGACCTACAGCAAAGATTAAGGCAGATTTTGCCACGGATGCGAGAATAGAGACGACAGTATTCAGTTTAACACCACTGGGCAGGTGGGGTGTTAACTGCTTGTTATAAATCTATTATAGAGTAATTAGGTTTCCCTGATGTTTAAGTGAGAGTTGGGGCTGATCATACCAGCAGGATACAAGCTATCGCAATAAGACATGCGATACTCAAGCAAACAGCGATAGACTCGTATATCCACGAGTCAGATCCTAGGGTACCCCAGAGGAACCGGTGGTGAGTCACATCTTGTAGAGATGGTGGTTTTATGACCTTTTTCTCATAGTTGGATAATCGAACAGGTGTGTAACCCCCTCTTGGTCCTTGCTTCTTCCTTCTGTGAAATAGGAACATAATCAAAGCAGTGATTATAACCATTAACACTCCGAATGTGACACCAAGGGCAATGCTAGCCTTGGTGCTGGTCGATAAGGAGGAATGTTCGCTGTGGATATCTGCCGAGTCATTTGAGGAACTCTTGGCGGGTATTATAATAGGCACATCGTCCGCATAAATTTCCGAGTAATTTCCATCAGGATCGATTCTGAGATCGGAGACACATGATCCCATGTCTGAAGTTTAGCTGAAGTAAACATAACCCCTGCAAGGAGATATGCTGTTAGTACACAGTGTGTTGACTGGCTAGCGATGAAGGATTCTTACGTCGGACAGCATCTTGCCCAAGTCCCAACTAGTGTATCATTCCGAATAATTATCTCTGTGGCAGCCGTGGCATAGCCACTGGGGCATTGTCCTGGAGAGAAATAGGAGTTTCGGCTCCATCCGGATGGCATACACGCCGTGTTGTTGTTAGCAAGGTGATAGTAATAGGTGGTCTTTGATTTGGACAAAGTCTGGAGATCGTGCAGACACGACGAGGGGGGTGTAAATACGGTAGTGAGCGGAAGTAAGGATGAGGTAGTACTTGTAATAGATGGTGTAGTGGCCATCTCTTACGAATTAGCACCTTTTTTGCGACCAGCATGTGATGAAAAGGGTTTTAGGACGAGACGTAGGGGTCAAGGGCCTTATATGCGAAAATTGCTAGTCGCTTAATCCAGTTTCTCTCGAGGGGTTCGATAGAGACTTGGAGGTGCTCATCGTGCATGGCAGAAACCAATCATACTCGCTGGGCCTGCATACGGAGTTGATCAGGCAAATCGGGATGCATGCAGTGGGCGGCGGTCGTGAGATACCTACGGAGTACCCCGTAGTACTGTGACACTGCGATAAATTGATTGCACCGTGGAAGATTCTTGCTCAAGGCTACAGCTACGAGTGGCGAGGCTGATGGTGAATCGAGACATGGGTTTGCCCGCTGGGCAGACAACAGGGGGTAAGATGCAATACAACCTGGCCGTCTGCCAATCACATTCCTGGATACGAGCTCACAACGGGTCTGGTGATTGGCTTTCGTGATCCCATTGGGGAAACCCGTTGGCTATCCATGATGCCAGGCGCTTCTTCCTCGCTAGGTAGCAAACAAATGTACTGTACCGACAGGGGTAGCGCTGGGATCAAAGCCTCCGCTCGAGCCCCTGAGAAAATGCTAAGCATACCCTGTCGAGTCTTTCACCGTGCCTCAGAAGGCTGGGAAAACCAGCCATCTTTGTTTATAAAAATGGTGGTCTTTAGGGCTCTCTGACGGCTCTTTCAATGTTGACCCGCACAGCCTCATAGGACGACTGATTCCCCCCACCTCAGCATACCTCAGCATCAACGCTAGCTTGTCATCGGTAGTCAGAATTCCTTACAGCGTCAACGAACATGAAGATGGAGATTGCTGCGCAATGTTTGACATAATCACAATACTCCTTATCGAGCGTCTTCCTCGCTCTTCTCCTTCTTGATAAATTCTTCGCTGCAGCTCCTTCAAACCTGTTCTTCTTTGCCGCCGCCTTAGGAAACGTCATCCCAGGCTCATTGTTCAACACTGTTATACTGGGAAACTTGTAGACCGTGGCCCTTAAATTTTGCTATTTACTTCCTCGATTCTTTTGAGCCAGAAATTTTCGACATCATATGCCCGAACATTGACAGGCCGATGGCCGTCATATCGTCTTTTTGCCCATATTGATACGTTCTAATTAGGCATCTGCTCCATTTTGTGACAGTGGGCAGTCAATTCTAGGGCAGCACGACCTCTTCACCTCATTTATATCAGTAATGAGATCCCGAGCATCGTTTGAAATTGGGACACTGGAAGTTATGGCCAGCTTGCAGGCAAACTGAGTAGAATCAAAGCTGATCACTATATATCAGAAGAGGTTTTTTGATAAGATGATTCTACACAAGAAATGATAGGTAAAAGACAAATCATCGCCAAGAAGGCATCAATAACCAAGATATAGGGTAGTCGACCTGGTTCTGGTTTAATCTTAGATAATGATTCGAGAACCAGACGACGCCATTGATCCTCAAGAGAATAGTTGGCAATGTCTTTTCTTTGGCGAACAGAGTTTTGGATTTCATGACGCAGAGAAGGATCAGCGTCCGCCAACTGCCGCGCAATTGTAGTCACAAAGCTCGTCGTGCGCTTGGTGTCACGATGGAGGACGGAGAAAAAGAAGCTGGCCCCAAGTCGATTCTCGTCATCATACTTACGAGCTACCATGCGGGCTATCGTCGACTTTCCTGTGCCAGCCAAGCCACTCATCCAAAAGATGCAGGGACCTTCGCGATCATTGGCCCAATGGTCAATGCCCTCAAGGATCTGCACGCGTGTGTTTTCGAGGCAGTAGGGGGACTCTTCACTATCAGCAATTGAGTTGAAGCGCGCGTCCTTCACGCAGGGCAAGTGTGAATCATTAAGCAACTGGGTTGCATCCCCTGTGATTGATTTAGCCGGGGTAGTGATAGTATTGGTCGGGCAACTTGCCATAGAAGTTGACATTTTCGGCCGTGCCGACGAATTGTCGAGAATAATTGGCAGCATATGCTGAGATGGAGCATCTTGAAGAATCTTGGTCTCCTTGGCTCGACAGACTCGACAGTTTCCTAGTCCTTTGATCGGGGATCATGGTGGTGTGGGTTTGGTGAATGCTGAAATGCTGGGGACAGAACGAGTCGACACCACCAGCAGCTTTCGTGAAACAAAATGCTGGGGATTATCTGTCTGATGGGAGCGCTAGTCTGGGTGAATCCGGTTCGGCGACAAGGCTGAATCTTAGCTAGTGTAGCGGTAGACTAGGTAGTAGGTAGTACGCACCGAGCGACGATTGGTTGTGTTTGAGGCTTAGCTGTGTGAGGTCAAGATAGTTCGAATAAGGGAAAGCAGGTAGCTGCTTATTATGCCCCCCAAGCCCCTCCCTAAATTTTGACCGATCAACCCCGGCGCTACACAACACCCGTTAACACCAGCAACGCCCATCACCCCAATATGGCTGAACCCATTGGCCTCACCGCCAGCATCATAGCGATCGCGGGTCTGGCGTACTCAAGTTGCAGGACTCTGAGCAGCACGATCAGGAATTGACGCGATGCGCCAAATATCCTCAACGACCTCCACGGGAATCTCCACACGGTCCAAAATCTGCTTCGGTCGTTACAGAGCGCTTTCGAGGGCCTGAATGAGAACGACCTGTCTGCCGGACAAAGGAGATGTTTTGAAGATCTCGAACCTTACATGCGTCGATGCGAGGCGACCTATAATGCTTTCGCAAAGACGCTGTCCCGGCTGACATCTCACTCTGATGAAGACAGACTCAGCTGGCGGGACCGAGGTCGCTTGCATCTGGAGAGACGGGAGATTGCAAGTCTGAAGAATGGACTGCAGAAGGGCATAGAAACTCTTGATATTGCGATCAACATGGCAACACTGTGAGTTCAATTCATACCGACCGATGCTCGGTGCTGATGAGGCGTCTCCAACCGCCAGTCGAAGCACCCGGCAAAATCAGGATGCGCTGCGGACTCTGGAAAGAAGAATTGTCACATCGATGAGTGAGTTTGCCGGTGAGATACAAGGCCTGCAGATGGCAATACAATCCTTGCCGTCTCCCTCTGAGAGCTCCAGCATCACCCGGACGGATGTTGATCAGGTGGTAAGTCTGTTAAAACGGCAAATTGACCTGATACAACAGAGCTTGAGGGTTTGCGACAGCGGGCTGAGGGAGACCTCGAGAAGTACTGGAACGACGGTGGCGAATGCCAGAGTGCTTGATAAAGCCCGTCAGCTCATTGGAAACATTGGAAGTGATGTTCGACTTGGGCCTCACACACTACCGGTGAATATCAGTCATGCGGAGGCTAGGGACAATGCATATCATGGGGTGGGAAACATCTCCGATGCGGCGTTGGAGGCGTTCTTGAGATAGTAAAGCCTGAGCGAACTTCGTTGTGCCTGAAAGGAGGTAATGAGAAGTGAGTTTCAAATATATCGTGGATAAGCAAGAGTGGCACCAGCTGCGGCCTAAAAGGTTGTGCGTCAGCGATGCTGTAGCAGCGTTTGCTGCGGTGTTGTGAGCAGAGTGTAAGCTGGACCGTGGTTGATTTGCAGTCGAAGAATAGCACATCATGGTTTGCTCAAGCGATCAACGATGTATTGAGAGATTGAGGACAGTTGGGAAATGTTCGGAGGTGGAGGTTTACTAAGAGAGAACATGCATACTCAGAACAGTTGGAAGTCACCTGTTCCCCGGCTCTTTCCGTTATAAGGTTCCAACTCAACCAACTACTCAATTAAAGCCACGCATTGTTCATCAACACTCTTCAACGAAAACAGCCATTTGATTCGACCTTGGTATTATCAGTGTACCATGAAGATGAAGAGACAGAAGAAACTCCAAGATCAACCGCAACATCAGGTATAAGATTGAAGCGAGTTTGTGCACTTACAATCGAGCAACACCTGTTAAATAAAGACGGAGACCGCTGCACTTCACGCCCACCTCCAGTTCAAACAAAGATTAACGCTTGACCTTGTCAAGCAATACATCATCAATCCGGATGTTTCCACCTCCGGAGTTACCGAGATCCGAGTCCGTATATGCACGGCAGACTCGCATGGATACCCCGGATCGAGTCCAGGACCGTCGAAGTAAGTCCACTGCCAGACCTGACTGTCGTACAGAATATGCATACGGAGTACACGATCCATTCAATGCGACTGCAGAATAGATCGGATTGTCGTCATCACCATCCCCCCGAGTCATTACCCTCCAGTCCGGTTGGCAGACCCATGTCACAATCATCTGCAGATTAACTAACCCTGCCGACAGCGGTGTAACCTCTTCGAACCATGACACACTGCCTCCAATGGTGTTTCATCTCATAACAGCTATTCCATTCCCTGGCACGGGTGCATATTCTCGCTGTCTCGCTTGCACTGTGGCCAGGGGCACTGCCATCAGAGGGCCCTACCCGGCGGATATACCGACATGACCAGGTGGCTGGACCGAATCTCAATCGCATGCATCATGAGAAGGGTTAGGCAGCAGAAACATGGCACGCAGTGCGGTTGTATAAATACGTGCCCGTTCCCCAGGGCTGGCTGACTGACCGAGTCGCCCTCAAAACCCATTCTCTACTCAGCGACAGGATTACCTCTCATCCCCCAAACGCTGACTGCCTATACTCACTCGACCGATCCGAAATCTCCGCAGCGATGAAGCCTCTTACCACCCTCGTTCTCTTCTTTTCCTGCTTCGGCCTGTTGGCAGCTGCCCCAACAGATCTCGCCCATTTCATCGACGCAGCCACCCACTTCCCCTTCGTCGACATCCCAGACCACTTCCCCGCCATGTGCTCCGGCACTGGCTCTGGGTATTGCAACCTGGGAATTGCGAGCTATATCCCCTCGTGCGGGACCAAGATCCGCCAGGCGTTTGTCTACGATCGCTACTGCCGCGGACTCGGAGCGCGGCCTTTCGACACCGATACGGGCAAATGGTCCGTCTACTCGCTGCTTCCATACACAGTGGAGCTGTCTATCACCGGCGGGGGCAGGATCCCGGATGGGTCATTCATGTATGCGGGGCGGAAGACGGATCTGGGCAAGAAGATGTACTGCCGAGCGTGTTCAGGGCTCGGGGACTGGGAGTGCTGTCAAGTTGCTTTCGACTGTCATTAGGGGAGATTTGGGGTGGGTCAAGCTTAAAAGAGAGTTCGGAGTGAGAAAGCTTGCCCTCAGCACGGAGTCGGTGCCTGAGCCGCGTCGATTGGCGAGTTGATGACTGGCATCATGTTGTTTGCTTTGCGTGTGTTTGATGATTTATATCCCCTGTCTGCTAGCAATAAGATTTGATGTGATTGAAGGTGTTAGACATCCAGCAGAAGTAGTCATAGTCAGCATTTCAGCACAAGAAGATGTAGTGATTGTCGCGCTAAGGGGAACAACTTACTGGACACCGAAACTCAAGGCCCATGTTTGCAGCGTTTACAACATTTGTCTCCAGTCAGTAAGCTGCAGCCATGCAATATACTTGAATTACAGTGAGCCAATTACCATTGATTGACTCAAGACAAGGCTAATCGAAGGATGGTGGTTTGCATCCTTTGTCAGCCCGGGAATTAACCCCGACACCGGAATGTATACAAGATGCCGGATGTTTAGCCTGATCTCCAGGCCTGTAGAGCGATGCATGAAAGTAGCCTGTAGCCTGTAGCCAGTAGCCAGTAGCCTCAACAACTCCAAAATAACAACCGCACCCATTTCTCAAAACACTTGAACCCCCCCCCCAACATCTGAGAGAGAAACAACAACCATGTCCCAAGACCCCCGCCTCAAACCATTCCACCACCTCCAAACCCCCTACAAAACCTTCCAGGATACCACCACCAACACCTCCGAAGAAATCCAAACAGACATCCTCATCCCAAAGACCATCCCCAACCCCAAGCCCCTCCCCATTATAATCTACTTCCACGGCGGAGGCCTAGTACGCTCCCCAGCCCTAAGCCCGCTTCCCCCTTTCTCACTCAAGCAAACTAACAGAAAAAAAAAGATATGCGGCTCCTCCCTCCACCCCGACTGGTTCCCAACCTACCTCCTCGATCTAGCGCAAACCACGCCTGCCGTCCTCCTCGCCCCGAACTACCGTCTCCTCCCGGAGGCCACCATCCACGAGGTGTTCGGCGACGTCCTCGACTTTTGGGACTGGGTGCACGCCCCGGCCAGCGTTGCCGCGCTGCTCGCCGCGGTCCCTTCACCCCAGAATGCCTCGGACAGGCTCGCAGTTGACGTCGCCCGCGTCCTCGTGGCGGGCGGTTCCGCCGGCGGGTATCTGGGTCTGTGTCTGGCGCTGCGGGTTCCCGAGCAGATCGGCGGAGTGGTCGTGGGGTATCCTGCTTTTTTGGGGGTGTCGTCTTCTGCGGTGGCGTCTGCTGCTGCTGCTGCTGCTGCTGCTGCTGTAGCGGGGGGAGTACCCGGGGGAGCAGGGTCTTCCTCGGTGAGAGGTGACGATGAAGAGAGGAAGAGTGGATTGAGCAACGGGGATGGGATTAGCCCAACCTCCACCACAAGCACAACCGCAACCACAACCACACCCTCCCCCTCCCCCTCTCCAACTACCCAAGACCTAAACCAAATGCACCACCTCCTCAACACAGCCCTCGCCCTCGCCGCCCAGAACCGCCGCCCCGTCCGCACCTCCACGACCCCCCCCGGACCGCCTCGACCTGATGAACGCGGCGATGCGCACGGGCCGGATCGCCGAGCTATTCGCGCGCGGCGTCGACCCGGCGGCCCACGACCCGGACCGGACCCTGCGGTATCCGATGGAGAGGCTGGATGAGCCAGCCCCTCAGGTTCCGCGGGGTGGGATTGTGATCTTGCATGGGCGGGAGGATGAGGTCGTGTCTGTGGAGGATAGTGTGCGGTTCGTTGGCAAGGCGAGGAAGGTTTTGGGACCGGAGGGGGGTGCGGGGAAGGTGGTGGTTGTGGTGCGGGAGGGGGGGCATGGGTTTGATACACCTGTAAGATTGGGGGAGGGGTGGTTGGGGGAGAGTTTGAGGGGGGTTGTCGGGGGGTGGTTGGAGTGACCTTTTTGTGGGGGGGTGGTTAGAAGTTGGGAGATTGAGTATATAGCACTATAGAAATGCAGGTGTGTATACAGGGTCCTTAACGAAAGCATGTTTACAAGATAAGACCTACTCCCATGCAATGTAGTTCACTACAGAAAACACTAATATCGTCTCAAAACTCTTCCAGTATTCAATATGGTCCGACAGACATAGACCTATCTAACCAATAAAACAAATCCAGACATGATATATCCAACAACACCCGCCCCAAAGCACAAAAAAGAAAATCCAAGCCATATATTCATATCATATAATTCATCAAGAACTTATTATCAAGTCAATAATAACAGCGCAGCAGTGAACGTGTCTCACATCCCGAATACATTACCACCTCTCGGCCAAGCCACCCCCTAAAAACACATTCACCACCCACTGGAAACCCGAGCAAAAAACTTAATAAGTATCCCCCGTCGACTCATCCAGATCTTGAATACGGTTGACCCCGCCCATGGGGGTGCCCGCCGCCAACATCATCTCGCGCTCGCGCCCGGAGGTGCTGAAGCGCTTCTCTTTGAGGACGGGCTCCTCGCCCAGGTTCTGGTGGCCGGTGCGAACGGTGGTGTTGCCCTCCGGGTCGGTGTGCGAGGCAAAGGCCGCGCGGTGGCCGGATTCTTGGGTGTGGGGGGGCTGTTGGTTCTGGTCGTTTGACGAGGAGGACGAGGAGGAGTACGAGGACGAGGATTCGAAGTAGGAGGTTTGGGAGGAGTTGTACGACATCTTGGTGGTTGGTGGGTTACGTCGCTTTGCGCTTTTCGATATTGTAGAAAAATCGGCTGTGTTCGCGATATGTGGTTTAGGTTTGCGAGGTTCTTGTGGAGATTCGTGAGGGTTTGCACGGAAAGGTAATTTGCAAATACAAGAATTCAAGGTTTGCTTGCTAGAATCGATTTAGAGTATGGTGATCTAGTGATTTTGCTTGGGGTAAGGCTGCGTTTGTGGGGAGATTCTTATACTGCGGCTCCGTGTGGCAACGATGCAACGATGATGTCATGGCGAGATAATTCCAGGGCGGGCCTCCTTATCTTCCCCCAAGAAATATGAAGTCAGCCCCAGTCCTTACCAATCCTTTCCCAATTTTTGAGGGTCAAGGGGCCACTGGGAATAGCGTCATGCTTAGATGAGCCGGTCCATGTGTCAGGCCTGGCATCGCCCTTGATTGGTCGCCCATGACGATCCAGGGTAGCGGCCATTGCGAAGGCTGCATCATTCGTACTGAACTTACTGCAAGTATCGACCATCGTATCCACTCACGATAGACTTAACGCGTAATTGGGTGGAAGATTCACCCATTGTGGCTGTATAGCACGCGTGTTACACATGGCAAGGGGGATTGTGACTGTCAGTTGCTGGACATCCGAGACTAATGCCGCCCATCAGATCGGCATGCAGCCACTCCATCGACCACTAGCTTGGACTTGGGCCCGCAAAATAGATTAATTCTCATGTGCACTACCGGTGCTACCTACCCGAGTATATTTGAACATGAGTGATGCCTCGAGGGCAAGTAGACTAAGTCGATCCACTAACCGGACATTTTGTCCTATCCATCCTCAACCAATCCAGACAGATCCTGGTATGACTGTCATCATTCGACTTATTATTTTCATCTTATTAATCATAATCCTCAAAACTAGCTCCTATTCGTGTTCGAATCACCAGGAGCACCGTAACCAATTCAAACAGAGTATCCCGAAGCACGAGACTTATAATCCCACATCATATCATCCAGATCTCGACCGGACGCAGAAACCATCACCTTTCCCCTTTCGTCCACTGCAGCCGTATACAAGGCATATGCGGGATCATTGAGGGCGAGCTTCACGATCCGAGTGGCAGCCGGATGGTGCCTCCTGACTCGGGCAATAAACCTGCTCGTATTTCCCTCGTACAGCAGCTCCGCGGCCCCCAGCAGCCCGACGGGCTCCTCCCATAGCACCGACCGGTGACGTTGGTGATAATAATACAAAATGATGTTGCATACCACAATAAAGGACAATATCACAATGATGTAGTACGCCGTCTTGGGGACCACAAATAGCCGCGTGTCTGGGGTAGAGACGGTTCCCTGGATTGAGGGCTGCTCATCGCGGTCCACCACCGAGCGAGGGAACCCCAGCCCTTCATTCGCTACAGCGTATATGGCTTCGAAAACTCGTTCCGTAGATAACAATATTTGGTCCCTGTTAGCGTACGGGTCCACGGTGTTTGCTTCTAGGACATGCCTGTTGATGAGATAGGAGAACCCGTCCACGGATGAAGCACCAGTGGGATCTCTGAATGATATGCTAGTCAGGTTCTGTTCGAACCGTTCCCAAGTAGCGGGCCGAAACTCAACGGACTGGCTGGGATGGTCTTGGAAGTGAATTACCGAGCTGTTGTGTTTGTCTGAAAATCGGGTTACAAGATCACCGTGTGTCTTTCGGTATATAGGGATGCATGACACGGCACTATAGTCTGCGATTTTGAATGGGGATATCAAGTTTCGAATCCCTGATATGATGGTAATGCGGCTATAGCCAGCATTCGCAGTGCACTCTCTCGCTGACAAGCTCCGAATGCAGTAATAGGTTGAGCTGTCCAATGTCATGGAGTATGTGACATTACAGCCGGCATCATCAATTCCGACTGTCAGAGTTCCGCTTTCGTCGTTGTAGGGGATATACTGTAGGGTAGAATTCTCTTCCGTGTAAACAGTGCAGTCAAGATGGCCGGACACAGCTAGGTTGTAGGTAGTGATATTACTAGGCACCTGAAAGCTGTCGAACCCATATGGCCGGAAGGCATAGTGCAGATCTGTCCATGCTGATGGTGGCGCCTTAAAAATAAGCATGGCAAATACCTCGTCGACAATCTCATTCCAATTCAACGAGTCATCAAGTGCCAAGTCGTCCCATATTTGTAGAGTTTTGAGGGTGTTAGTGAAATTGTTGATGACTGGTGTTGCAGTGAGCAGATGCGCAGAAAGAGGGACCACGGTTATGTTCGAGACAAGGTAGAGAAGCATGATGACTCCCAGAATGTAGTGCTTGTTCCGGATGGCCAAGTACCACGACCAAAGGAAGGGTTTACTGCTGTAATCGAGCAGTAAGGAGTTCTTCAGTGTGTTGCCCTTGCGCAACTCAACATACGGTTGTTGCTTGGACGCTGCATCTACCACCGAGGCCCAGAGGTCTCGGGACAGCGTGAAAAAGGCATTGGGCAAGCTAGTCCACAGATATGCTGCACTCCAAAGTTTCTGCAGTATCCCGCCGGGCCCCTTGTCTCGGCCCGGCAAATGTTGAACGGATAGTAAGCCATTACGGCTTTCTGATATGGCGAGGAGGATCGATAACGTCAGAACGGGTGCGATTTCAAGAACAAGAAGAGATGATATGTAGGCCGATCTCAAAGGGTAAGGCTTCCAGTCCCGTTGCTTAGAGCCTGGGGGTGGGGGATAGTCGCAGTCATGGCTGATGGTTGTTGTAGCACCTGGGAGCATCCGACTGTATTCCTCAATGAGCTCTACGGGGCTCGAATCGGCAGAGAAACCCAGAGACATGATTCAATTATAAGACATATTATGTCCTTGAGAAGATTGTAGAGTTTTTGAAGTGAGGAGAGGTAGTCGAAAGGCATCTCCTTGACTTCGCGGACGAATGCTGCGAGTTTGTGTGAGATGGTGACGAACAATGGATCCTGGTTAGAACGGATACATCGTATTTCCCGGAGGTTTGTCTTTCAGATTTTGACCTGACCGAGTTTCTCTGTGGACACATAGTGTGAGCACAAAGGAAAAAAGACAAGCCTTACCAGCCTCCAAACCCAGTTTCGGTCCACATTGACCAGCTTTGTGGATGATAAGCTTTATTTGGGTGGTGACCGCATACTGCCTGGGTCGCCACACACAGTTACTCAGGAGCCGTACGAGATCCAGAAGCAATCAAGATTTTATAGGATGAGATCTTCTGAAAGAAATGATCTTGAAGACCTCATGATGAATTGGTGTCCTTCATTGCTGCTAGTGGGAGAGGGAAGGGAGCTTTGGATGGAAGCTTGAAAGAAAGCTTTGAAAGGTGGACTCCCCCGCATCACGTGGCTGAAATACTAAAGCATATAAAAGCAAGCATACAACAACATGGCCTTTGCCAATCCCAAGAGGGGAGTGAGTGAGGACAGAGAAAGGAACCGACCAGAGTGAATTGCAACAAGTCCCGGCCAATCTAGAGAAAACCCCCAACTTCTCTTCATTGAGGGACTTCTGGTTAAACAGTCGCGTCAAAGAATAAGCGGAGAATTGCGCCATATAGATAAAGATGTTCAGTGGGGAAAAGATCGACCAGTGAGTCAACTATGTTCAATGATCAGAATAAATACTATTAACCTGACCGTGATACGGGGAAACAGCCCCTCCCCCGCCGTCAACTTGAGGGAACTCATCTCGTAGCGTAAATTCACCGTGCCCATCGTTTTGAGCCAACCATGCCTCTGCACGGTAGATACCGCAACCTCGACGTACAACCAGATGAGGCAATGCCTTTCGAGGCATTTCATCTCGACTTGCTGGCCGTTGACATGCAGCGGTTGTTTCTGCAATTGCTGCATGAGCGGGCGAAAGACCCGAAAGACCGGGTCTTCGAGTTGGAAGATCAGGATGTGCCCCAGTTTCTCCATTTCTGCTCGGAGGTCGTGAACGTCATCCACGACTTAGAAGAGGACTGGCTTATAGCTGAGATCCGGGAGATGCTCGAGCATGTCTGCCTCACGTGGGCCTATATGCGTGGTTCCCTCGACCGAGCGAGGAGAGCTGGGCTCCGGCGACTGAACGATTCGCGCCGGGGGCTCCACACCTACGACCGGGCCTGGGCCAAAGGCATTGTCAAAGAGCTGGCGCGGGTGACCAGCTGCAGCGCGCATGCCGCCATTGAAGCCTTGGTACGCGCCGCCCTGAAGCCCGAAGATGTCGCACGGCTGCACGTAGAAAAACGACCCATCCCCCGGCGGACCGAGGAGACCGAGTGCACGATCTGCGGCGGAAAGCTGGGGAAGAAGCCCGTCTGGTGTAAGACGCAGTGTGGCCATAGTTTCTGTTTCCACTGCATTGATTCGTGGCATGAGGAACTCTATGAAAGAGACTCCATGGCCAACTGCCCTTACTGCAGACAACCGTGGCCGCATTCTCTATCCTCTTACCGCACGTAGCGGTTAGCTGTGTAGAGTGATGTCGGGAAGCAACCTGCTTACTAAAAGAGGCACATTGGTCAATCTAAATACGCTTCTCCTCATCCCCTGTAGGCTGGCGCTTTCTTATATCCTTCCACCCCATTCCCCATGCCGCACAAAAACAGCCAACACCTATAGCAGCAGACAAATAAAAAACATGATTTATCCCCTGAGTATATGCCAGTAACACTCCTGCCAGTTTATCCTTCGAAATTGTGCCCCGGATCGCTCCAGCCCCAGCAGCAATCACTGCTCCGGAATCCACGGACGAAGCGTATACCGCCAGGCCGGACTTCAAGCTGTTGATGAAGGTGACTTGGCCTAGGGTGAGGAAAACTGCCTGGCCCAGAGTTTGGCTAAAAAGGAGGAGAGAAAGAGCGATGGAGGTTTCAGCTTTGGGGAGGATGTTTTGGACCGCAAGGAGGGGCTACACCCATATGTTAGTATAAATAGGCATAAATGTGCCAAAAATTGGTGAACTCACCGCTTGGGTACCTAGACCCCGTCCAGCTCCGATCAGGATCTGGTATCCAATCCATGTCCTTGTTGGTGTCGACAATGAGAGAAGAGATAGCAATCCGTTTCCAAGTGATAATAACCCCCCGCTACCGATACTGAACGGAAGATAGTAGCCCACCTTCCTCACTGTACGGCTTTTAGAACCGATGCTCTTTGCGGAGGTAAGAGAAATTTCTTACCTAGAAACCCCGAGGAAATGACAAGAATCAGCTGACTGATGATGCTTGGGAGTGTAGAAACACCACTCATCATCGCGGACACTCCTTTCACCACTTGAAAGTAAAGAGGAAGATAATATGTTGCACAGGCATTCATCCCGCCGAGGAAGAACATAAAGAGACAGGAGCAAGAAACTATTCGCTGAGAGACCATGTAGAGAGGGAACATGGCCTCTCTACCGGTGCGGTACTCCCACCCCAGAAACAGAATGAACATGGCGCCTGAGCCGCAAAACAGACCAATGACTGTCGCGCTATTCCAAGGATATCGGTTTCCGCCATAATCGAGTGCCAGAAGGAGCTGAATGATGGCCGGTGCGAAAATGGAGAATCCGATCAGATCTAATCTCTCTCGGATGATGCGAAGGGTTGGCAGAGGGTCTTTCGTAGCTTTCGGTTCTGGGATAGTGACGAAAAGCAAGACAAGAATAATGACGCCGCCGATTGGAAGGTTGATGTAGAAGCCTACAACATGGATAATCGGTAAGAGATACCAGGCAAAGAGACACGCGCAGAGAGAGTACTTACACCATCGCCATGATACATACTCCGTTAGCGCCCCTCCAATCAATGGCCCGAGGACAAGGCCGAGCTGAGCAACTAGAAAATCACGGGTCAGAGGAAATACCCCCAGCTGTATCAAATTGTCCTACTTACTTGCCAGCAAGATGGCCGTCATGGCTATTAGAAAGCAGGATTAGTGATGTTACAAGAATGAGTCAAGACAATATGATGCATACGTGCTTGTTTCTCCGGGGGAAAAGATCTCGTAATAATTGTCAAGGCACCGTTTTGGATACCTGAAGCTCCGATGCCTGCCAATGCCCGTGCAACAATGAGCATTTTCGAGCTAATTGCCAAAGCACAAACCAAAGAGCTGACCATGAAAATGCCCAGCAGCGCAATGAAGGTTTTCTGGTGGCTGTTAGCTATCTTCGCCAGCAAGAGAATGAGATGGGTGCGAGCGTACCTTGGTGCTGAAGTATGTGTACAGTTTCCCTGTGAGTGGCTGAAAAGATGCACTGGATGGAACATTAGTGAGTCTTCTTCTTGTTCTCTTTTCTTTAAGACTTGAGTTTTGAAATTTCTTTAATCCATTCTTATATATTCTGCTTAACGTCTGAAAGAGATGGCAATAGCTAACATACCTAGTGAGCTGATATGCACTACCATACCATCCCACATCAGAAAGAGAATGGAATTGGCTTGTGACTCGGGGAATTGCCTACTATGACATGCCATCAGTCAACAGGAACGTATACCTAACCAGCAGCAGTCCCTCGTATCTCAAAGCTCAATCTTACCGGGGCAACGATAGAAGTATCAACAAGCACAAGAAGGGCGGCAGACGTCAGAGCCGACAGCAGCAACACAAGCCTGAAGCCAGTGATATAATCCTGTCGCTCTGTTGCTGGCCCTTGCTCTCTAGCCTTCTCCATTCCTCCATCTTCTTCCCTTGATGCTACACGCATCGTCTCTTTTCCGCTGCGAGTCGAGAACTGGGAAGTATCGTCATATGCCTGCTTTTCCATTTCCTTTGGTGGGCGTGGCGATATAGTTGAAAATATTTCAAGATATTTGATGGGAAACAAGGGGGGCAGTCTGCCTACGCACACGTGACCCTCCCATTTATTCATTCTACAGATGAAGAGAATCAGGGGAGGCAGTCTGCACACATACACGTGACCCCCCTATTGATTCATTCTTGCACTTCGCGGCAGATGATAGGGGTAAGGAGCGGAAAACAGAGAACCAAAAAAGAAAGCGTAGAGATTTGCATGGTTCCATTTAGGTATACAAACTGATGCACGACTGTAGCTCTAAGGGAATAATCGCCAATTCGCGTGGACCACTACCGGTACACCATCAGCATTCCAACAATAAGCAATTCTCCTTTCTAAAATCTGAAGGATTTATAGAATAGTTCGTTGCATCTAATTTACCTGTCTTGGATCTATAAGATTATTGGATTGATTGGTGGAGGGGGAGAACTCAAGAGCATTTACCAGACCCACTGATAATCCATCTTTTGTGACGGTACCATTGTGACTAGTGCACAAATGGAGATGCGTCTCCACTGAAATGACAGGAAGGTTTAATAGTCTGGATAGTTTTTCCGACGTGTCTATCTCAGCCGCTTCCGCTACACCAGATCGGAAACCGGTATTCCGAACAGAGATGAAAGGAAGGGAGAAAAGATTATCTGTACGGAGACACGCAATGCTGAGAGAGTAATTCCTTGATTGAGGTTTCCATGAGGGCTGGAAGTCAGCAGTGTAGAAAACTAGACCTAGAAAGGCAACCTCAGTTGCATGCCCTGTGCCCGCAGTGCAGTTGGCAGCTCAGTACAATCTAAAGAAGCTTTGAATCTCATTTCCTCTCAACACGAAGAAGCCCGAATCCCATGAGAGAAAGGCATCTAACTCCAACCTGCTTTGAATATTATACTGTGAGGGAAAGCTCATCTTCAGCAACTATGATCAAGTTGAATCCCCCGCCAAACACTATATTTACTTCAAAGTCCCAACAGTTTGGTTACAGCCGTGCCAAAATGCCCTCGCCGTCCCATGGAATAATCTTCACCAATATAGTTGCCAGATCCTCCACCTTGTCGGGACTGACTGATATCTTCCACCTCCACAGTCGAGCTATGTCCCCCCTTCTGATGGTATGCGAGACTTCGAGTCCAGTTTTCCGGTAGTAATTCAAGACGGTGGGATGCGTGGTAGCGCTCGAGCCCAGCATGCGCGTCCGGAAATGGTGTGATCGATGCCCCGACGAGGGGCGCTGAAGCTGCTGCGCTTGGTGTCGCTTTTGGAACGTCTTTCTGTCCTCGCTGACAGCTGCTCGCTCCGCCGTGGCAAAGGCCTCGAGGATCATGCCCCGCTGCCGGTGGTGAGGAGAAACAAACGAGGTTCCTAGGAACCAAGACGATTCATTGCAGTCGTTTTCGTTGTCGTGGTAGGGTTCGTGGTGGCAGCGCGGGCCGTAGAGACTGGAAATCAATGCCCACTCATTCTCCCATACCGGAGTCTGGAGGGCACCATCGTCGGCTCGGGGAACAGCGATGATGACTCGAAAAGCAGGCTCGGAGAGAATTGACTTCCATTCGGCGTCGGACATGCTTGCTTCTTTTTCGTAGGATGACCCGAAGCTGTCAGGGGCTGTTTTCAGGGCGTTCAAGCGGAATTCGATGTATTTGGGACCCCATTGTTGGACACTCGCCTCGTCGTGGGGCAGGATTTCGAAGTGGTATTGCGATAGAGGGAGCATGATGCGGCGCGAATGATTGGGATCGTTGTTGTGCCTGGATCAATGATGAATCTTCCGGACAGAGCACGGGATTTTATTTTCGTCTAGCAAGTAACTTATCTATGTCCTGCATTTTACTGATCGAGCCAAAATGCTGCAGCATCAACGGAGTAGTTAGGCTCAGTTGAATCTCGTATTCAGTACTAGTACTATGTAGATCAATCTGTCAAAGTGAGCTAGCTGAATTGTCAAAGATTGTAGTAGGTGTTGTACCTTAGTATGCATTTGGACAAATGAGATCTTCGGAACTATCATAGATCGGGTAAAGATTGCCAGGTCGATCCAGCCGAGTATGCTGGTGACAAGACCGATGTTGAGGTGTTACCCGCAGTTTACATACAACAAAGCACAGTAAATATGGGATGGAGGTAGACTAATCCCATGTCACGGTACAAAATCTCTCCTTGTTACGCCACTGTACGGAATATATCTGGCTGATCTACACGAAGATCTGCATGGATCTACAATTTCAGGACTTGCCTAGGTGATCTATACTTCGCCGGGTCGCCCACAAGACCCACATCGGTCGATTGGGGATAGATAGGAAGGCAAAGAATACTTACTATTCGTGAGAACAGGTGGCTGAAGGCACGACACATCAAGAGAGCCTACGCAGGAGAATAAGGCAGCGATTGAAGCCGCAAGGGTCAGCGAGGAGGCTACGGAGCTCTTTTACCTCGATCTGCATCTAATGTGTTGATCAATGTGTCAATCGCACCAAATATTGTCACCGTCAGGTGGGGGTGGCTATTATGAGTACGAGGCACAAATACTCCGTACAGCAAGGGATATTCTCCCAGTGGATTTTCGAGTTTCATCTGGACAGGTGGGAAATGATCTGTCAGCATACCTCGAACTGACTGTTCGTGCTACAGCTCCCATTTTTGTTACATTTCCATTGCAATTTGCTTACAGCATCTCACCGCTGAT